AGTCGCCGCCGGAGCCTGGGCCAACCACGCCCGCCAACCAAGCCGGTCGACTGTGGCTGGGCCTGCGGGAGACGGTCGGGAGGGGCCGGGCCGGGTGTGGGAGAGAAAGAGGACATTGTGTCCCCCACCCTCCAACTCTCCGAGGTGTCATGGCACAAGCCGATTTCCCTCGCCATTTCCTCGGACGCAGTGCCCTCGCCCCTCGCTGCCTGAGAGATGAAGAAGATTGGACTTAGCGGCTTTTTTTTTTTTCTCCCACTCTTGCTGTCCCCAGTCTAGGGTCAGAGCTTCCTGCAAACCCAGCTTGCCTTTTGGGGGCATACGAGGAGGGGGTCAGAGCGTTTGGTGCATTTTCTGTCTTCTGTCCCCTGCTAGAGAGGTGCGGGTGGACTGTGGCATGTCCCTCGGCACTTCTGTCAGGGATCAGGGTCCCCCTTTCCTTCCTGTTCCCCCAGTAGATAGGCTGACATCTCTACGTGCCACTCCACCTCTCAGCCCCTTTCCCGCCCTCTTTCACCCATGTCTTCTGTAGCATGCCATGTGTTCGCCTTTTCTACGTTGGATTTTCGTGGGTCTTTGCTACCTTCAATTTTGTTAGGAAAGAGGTCACAGTGTGTTTTTTGTCTTCCTTCAATCTAGGGTTTGTTAGGAGTGTTGGATTGGTAGGATTGTCGCTTATGCCTTTACTCAGGAAGTTAAGGACAGTTTCTTCAGCTAAGTTGTGTAATTTGCTGCTGTAGGGAGAAGAGGAGGGAAAGACAGTTGTACCTAAAAAAATGAGATCTCAAAGGGCTGAAAACCAAAGAGTTTAGGGGACCTTTGACCTCTCAGAAAAAGAACTGTCACTGAAGAGTAACCTATTCTTTCTTCAGATGGAAAATCATTTTGTCACTGCTTTAAAGGGAGGAAGGTATGAGAAATGAAATAACAGGGCAGGAGGTTACTGGGCCACAGTCTTACAGGTAGCACTCTTTTTTGCTTCTTGGGTGGAAGATGATGATTCTGTTTTTATTATAGTAAGAAAAAAAGTGTCAGTTCTTATATTTAACTTGGGGAACTTACCTTCAAGAGCATGCTGAGGGCAGTCTCACAAGTGATGCTGCTGGAAACAGGATTTGGAAACTTTCTTGGGGTTTCCTGTCAGAATGTGTGTGTGTGTGTGGGGGGGGTTATGTATAGTTTTTCTTTTCTTTTGATGTAATTGATTTCTGCAATACTTTGACATAATAAACATCAAAGTAGGCTCCATACTCATTTCTGTCTTTATTATGCTTTACTGTAACACTTTTGAAATTATATTGTGTGGTATTGTGTTTTAGTGTGGTGTTTTTGTGAATCTTGTTATGTTACCATTTTGAATTAGGTTCTGCTTCAAATATGAATAGATGTAAACTATTGAGGACTATACATATTTGGTATTTGTTGAACGAATTAAGTGATTTACAAAGATATGTCTAGGTGTTGTATGTCTTCTGTCCTTTTTAGAGATACCTTATGTTAAGATATTGCATTTTACTCCTACTATATAAAATGGCAATTCTTAATCTTTTCTAGGCCACTGACACTTTTGAGAATGTGATGAATTATATGGACCATACCTCCCCCCCAGAAATAACAGGCATTTGTGCACAAAATTTTGCATTCAGCTTTAGGGATCTTTTGATGCCAATCTTGGATACTGTCTTTTTTTAAAAATATTTATTTTTTAGCTTTAGGTGGACACAATATCTTTATTTTATTTTTATGTGGTGCTGAGGATCGAACCCAGTGCTTCACGCATGCCAGGCGAGCACGCTATTACTTGAGCCATATCCCTAGCCCCTGGATACTGTCTTAAGTGAACTGAAATCAGTCTGTTGTTTCATATCACAATTATTTGAAAGCCTTGGTTCACTTTTTGTATGCCCTCAGGAATGACAGTATCTACACTTTGAGTCTTTGAGAACAGATTTCAGAGTGATTATTACTACAGATTTATGGGGGAAAGTTCTCGATAACTTTTACCAGTCAGTTATAAACCAGTACACCCATGGCTTCTAAAGAAGTAAGATTGTTCTACTCACTTTAGTATCTTAAAATCATAATTACAACTGACTTACAGTTTTGTTTGTACAAACTGCTTTTTTTTTTTTTAAATACCAAGGATTGAACCCAGGAGTGAACCACTGAGCCACATCCCCAGCCCTTTTTATGCTTTATTAGAGTCAGGGTCTTACTAAGTCGCTTAGGGCCTCTCTAAGTTCCTGAGGCTGGTTTTGAACTCACAATCCTCCTGCTTCAGTCGACAAGGTTGCTGGGATTATTGGCATGCACACACCCAACCAAACCCTTTTTTAGCAATATGATCAGCATTTGAAAATATTGACAAATGATTCATTTTTCCCATTCTCTTTAAAACTTGTTTATAGGCATGTTTTTATGTACTTAATAATTAAATAAACATTCAGTGTTAATTCAGTGAGTATTGAATACCTACCTACTATGTAGAAAGAACAGTCCTTGCTGTCATGGGCCTTATATTCTAATCAGGAAGGACAGGCTATAACCAAATAAATATAAAATGTGTCAAGTGATAAGAGCCTCTTTATGCAGAAGAGTAGGATGAGGGCCCAGAAAAAACATTGACCAGGAGGAACTGAGACTGGAGCGGAAAGTGAGGGATGTGTGTTCTCTTGAGGGAAAAGGTATATGCAGAGAGGACTTTTAAGTGCAAAGACCCCTGAATGTTCACCTGGCCTTTTTGAGATCATCTAGGAAGCTACTGAGTTTGGAGGATAATAAGCAGGAGTGAAAGGGAGAAGAGAGCTTGAGGTTAGAGAAGTATCTGGGGCTGCTTGAAGACCTTATAGACCATAATAAGAACTTTGGATTTTACTTTGAATTGAGATGGGAAACAATTGTAAGATTTTGAATAGAAGAGAGATCCTATTGTGATTTAAGTTTGTGAACATCATTATAGCCAGTATGTGAAAATCAGTGTGTGTGGGAGAGAGATGAGAATGGAATTAATTCAGGGGTAAATCTTCATTTTTAACCTTTTTCAGTGATTGCAAAATAGTCAATCTTTTTACTCTTGGGCCACTCATGGGCATCTAGGTAGCTTCCCTCTCCTTCTCCATTAAAATAACAATGGAATTAACATTTGCAGAAGGAACATTTTTCTTTTGGGAATTTTTTTGGATTCATCCAGAGGAATCAAAGTATATAGATATATTTGTCCGGTGTCTATCTGAATTGCTTTCAAAAAATAGTTTTGACAGCCATGGTTGTTGAGCTTAAGTTTCATGGCAATTTCATTTTCATTGGGTATTATTAACACTTAAAAAATAGTTTCAGTCATAAAATGATGTCTTTTAGATTGTTAGGTTGAATTTAGCTCTCCCCCTTCTTCAACATTTAACCACAATGCTAATTTTTAGGAATACAGAGATGAATTAGACAGGGTCTCTGTCCCCAGGGAGTTTTTTTATATTTAGTTGTAATTTGTAATCTAATAGTTAAAGAACTCAGGATCTTGCCAGTGTTTTCTGTTACACATGAACTTTTAGTGTATGGTTAATGATCTCATATATAAAATAGGCATTCCTGTTGGACATCAGTTGTTCATATTGGTAATTACTTTTTTTCTTATAAAGTAAGAATTATGTAATTTATGTTTTATATGATGTCATTAGAATCTTATAGCTTTGACATCATTGTGTTTTATTCTTTCCAATAAATTATGCAACTAGTACTTAGTTGAGGACTCTCACAGTTGAATTTTTAAATTGTAATTCTTTTTGGTTATTCAAAAAAACAGACTTGTTTTTGTTAAATGAGGTCAGCTTTACGTCTTTGAAATTTTATTTCCTTTATAGAGAAGGATGATACCAGTTTTTGTTTTTCTTTTTGTTTTTTGATAGAAAGTAATACCACTGTGAGGACATTTCTAGTTTTGAAATGAGCTTCAGCATCAATGAAGTGAGTAAATTGAACTAAATTGAATTGCCTGAAAGCACCTATCACAGTGTGTGACATGTGCTGGAGATCCAATAGTATTCATTGAACCTCAGATAACTTCTAAACTCTTGGTTCTAAAATTCTCTTATTTTAGATGTTCAATAAAAATAACTCTTATAAAGCATTTTTATCTTAATATTGTGGTACATTTAAAATTGTGAATATAAGCTTACTTCTTCCTAATGTTATTTTTCCAAATTCAATTAATCAATTGTAAAGGGTTGGCATCCATCCATCCAGGTATTTTCTGCTCTTTCTGATGTCATATAATTGTAGCATCACTTAATGCCTGATTTACATCTTATGGAAGATATTAGCATTAAACAAAAATATTAAATTTTCATATGTTACTGAGATAGATGAAGTATCTATTTTGGGTATATGTGCATGAAATTTGTGGGTTACAAACCATAGTTTTTAATGTTATTCAGTATCCTATACACAAAGATAATTTTGACCCATTCACATTTTAAATTTTGTATAATAATGGTAAGTGGGTTTGCGTTGAATGATTCACACTGTCTCAGCACGCTTGGCACAGTTTTGAGATGACTGGTTAAGAGGACAAAAATGATCCAGATGAGTACTGAACCTGTAAGCTTAGGATGGTTCATTATCATGATGTTCTGATCAACAAAGCAGTTCAACAGAGAACTGTGCCATGCTCTCATTTCCGCTTGAAAATAGGCCTTTTAGAGGTAAAAGGTACAAATATGCACATACACATGCAACAATTAAAAAAAAAAAGAAATGGATTAAGTTAGAGTTGAAACCAGAAATGGTATGCTTTTATAAATGGCCTGAAAATGATTCTTTTAATATAATTTTCAGAAGTACATAACATACATATAGAGGATTAACTGTGTTTTGTGAAATAAACTTTAATCACTATACAAGTGAATGTTTAAAAAGCACTTATGACTTACTTAGGCTACATAAATTTATGGTAGATACATATGAAAAATTCTTTATAAATCACTCCAGTTTTCCCAGTATTTTTATTTCTAGGTAACATTAAGCCTATTTAGGTACTGTTGGTAGACAGTGATTCAAAGTGTAGAATGGCAAACTTAACTAAAGTTAAAAATTAAATGTGTAATCCTGTGTTTGTTTTTATAATTTATTTACATAGGGCTTTATTGCATAAGAATAGGAATATACTAAACTACAAATAACTCATAAAAGACACTGTTGAATTAATTAAAAATTTGAAAGGCCTTTGAATTCACAAGTCTGTATACCTATAACATGGTACTCTTTTTTTAACAATGCTGCGTTATACCCACTTGTTTGGTTGTTTAAAAAAAGTGATTTTTGGATAGGACTGTGGTTTAGCTATCATAGTCAACTATAAAGGCACAGAAAACTAAGTATAACTGTTTGGACAAATTCCAGTTTATACTACTCTAATTCAGTAGTAGGAAATCTCTTATTGTAAACTAAACATTTCAGATTTTTCAGATGTGTAATCAGGAGAATAAATTCATTCATGTTATTTTCAGTGATATTTTAAAATTCATTTATAAATAGAATCATTCTGTTCTAGACAAGTTGGCTATGTTATAGAACGATAATAAAGCAACCACTAAGTTAATTCTTTTAGCAGTTGAAATTTAACACTTATCTTTGAATTATGTCTTTACAGTCAAGCCCAAATTTATTGATGCCTTTGGAACTATTCTTTAAATTTTATTGTGAAAATGTTGCATAATTTCATTAATAGTTTTCAGATTCAGTAGATGTTTAGTGACCCAAAATTAGGCTCTTTGATGGACAATGAGATATAAATACGTGACTTCTACTTTTAAGGAATTTACAGCTCAGTAATTTATTTTGTTTGCTAAATCCTGATATACTTTTTATAAATAAATGTTGTAATTTCATGGAGAAATAAAAATAGAATAACACTCATTTTCTAAGTAAAATGAATGTTCTAACTTAGTTGTTGAACAGCTATTCCTGTGGTCTTTTTTCTAACAACCTTTTAGTACTACAGCAAATCAGTTTCCCAGTTACTGAAACTATAGTAAAATAAGAACTGTAGGTTGGGGCTGTAGCTCAGTGATAAAGTGTGCATGTAGGAATCTCAAGGTCCTGGTTCAATCTTCAATACACACATGCCCACTAAAAGAGTTATTTGTGTTGCTGCCTGATTTACTTCAGTTCTAGACTCTATATTTTGTCAATTGCTTTTATATTCAAATATTTATACACAGAACAGACTATATGTATGCCAAGCATATATATGCATGTTTATATGAACTGCATTGTAAGAAAGTTGTTCAGCTAACAATTTTAATTCTGTGTTTAATATCAGAAGTTAGGTTTTTCTGTGTATTTTTTTTTGTTGTTGTTGTTTTGTTTTTTTTTTTGGTAGAACGTCTTGTTAATTCTTTTTTCTACACTGATTAAAATCATTGTGTGCTATGCTACTAAAGTTTACTATCTGATAGGACAGAAATGTCCAAATAGACAAAATGTATTAATGTGCATTTTTAGTGAAATTTGATAGTTTGCAAGTTTAATCTTCAAGTTTCTCTCCCTACCTTTAGATTTAACTGTGATATACTTATAAGGCAGCAACCATATATTTAGTTTGCACAATGAGTATGGTTTTTCTGACTTTACCATTTTGCTGTTTTCAGTTGGGATCATTTAGACATTTATTATTCTCAATAGATATATATAATAAAACAATCCATTTAACTAGTACTTTCTATTATATGCATTGGCTGACTTCTGATAGTGAAGCTTGTGCAGTTTCATAAATATTACTGAGTTTTGGATGACATTCTTTATACAATCTAAAGTGAATATGAGCATTATAGAAGCTGAAAACAAAACAGGTCTGATATTTTCTTTGTGCTAAGAAATGTAGTTCGTATTCTAAGTAATATGCTCTTGTTAGGCTCAGGATCATTTTCAGTGAATATAACTACTTAAACACTTTTCCTCATTTAAAATAATTCATGTTACATTGTGGCAAATTCTGAACAGAATACAAGTGTAAAAAAGAAGTTGAAAATCACCCATGATAGACACTCATGAAGTCTATCATAGGAGACACTTACTGATAATGTTTTAATATATATTTTCCCAGTTCTTTTCTTGCATGTACAGATTTTTTATTTTTATTGAAACTAGAATTATACTTTATATATACTATTTCAGTATTCCTTTTTTCCCCCCCTGAACAGAATTTTGGTCTCCTAGTGTGATTCTGTATGATATTACTATTTTAAATAACACTGGTACAAACATTTTTGTACATTTATCTTTGATTGCATCTCTGTTTTGTTTTGTTTTTCTTTCTTTAGGATAGATTCCCAGAAGTGGGATAACTGGATCAGAGGGTGGTTACCCTGTATAAGAATGTGTGTCTCACTGCACCTTCAATGGCATTGAGTAGGTCAGTTTTTATAATCTTTGCCAATTTGATAGATATCTGTTACATTCTTGGGTGGTAATCACAAAATCCTCATATTATTAATAATCAATAAAACCATCATAGTGTATGAGTAGTAATTTGTAGTTATCTTCAAAAAAGTTGGTTGAAATAAGTTTTTTAAGAAATATTTTAGGTAAAAGTAATCTTTGTGATCAAAAGTAAATTGATTGAAGTTCCAATTTGAGTGTTCTTATTTTTTTTTTGGAAATACAGTTTAAATATTCTTTAACTAAAATGACAAACATAAGAAAACTTGTTTTATAGTATGTAATATTACATAAAATTAAATTATTTCAGATAGATAAGTGGAATAGTGACATGATCCTGACTTAAAAAAAAAAAATATTGGGGATTGGGTTGTGGCTTGGTGGTAGAGCATGCACCTTGCATGTGGGGCACTGGGTTCGATCCTCAGCACCACATAGAAATAAATAAAGGCATTGTGTCCGTCTACAACTAAAAAATATATTAAAAAAAGAAAAACAAACTATTGTATTTAGAGATGGCTCTGGAATTGTAAACCTGGATTCAGATCCTTGCTCTACCATTTATTAAGTATATGATTTGAGGCAATTTACTATATGATTGGATGTTTCTAAGCCTTGGCTATTATCTTTAAAAGGTGATTAGTAATAACTACTTCATAGAATTATTGAAAAGGGTTAAAAGTATTGTATAAGACTGCTTGGTGTATAGTAATAAGCTATTTTTGTTAAATTTAATTTTTTCTGCTAGTGTCAGGGAGGGAAGAAATATCTTGTTTTTGTGTCCTTATTTACATGAATAAATACAGAGATGCAAAGGAGTGGCAGACATTCTTTGTAGCAGGAATGGAATATGCCGAGTTAGAAAAGCAGTTGAGAAGTTGAAGGTCTTGGGATTGACAGAAACCTAGGCTTTTGATTAGTTAGAAAATATGGAGCTAAGATAGTACAGATTGATGGACTAGACCTTGTTAGACATTGAATGATAGGTTGAGAAGTGTAGACTTTGTTCAGGAGCACAAGAAGTTTTGATATGAATAAAATGACTGATAATATTTATCAAAAGGAAGTTCTGCTTAAAGAGTATTGAGGAAGGAAAAGGTGGATGATAGGAAGGTCTGGTTTATAACAGGTAAGGTCCTATCTGGGGGCCTTTAATGGACAGCAAGAGGGAAGGTTTGGGGCAAGTTGTTGGGAGTCAATATTGTGAAGATCTTTGTGTTTAGTTTGGAGATGAAATTCAAAAGAAACTGTTCAAGTTTTAAGATCAAGGCTGCTTAGAGTTCAGTTACCTTTGAGAGAAGATAGGCCTCTAAATACTTCCATTACTACTCCATTTATTTATTTATTTATTTATTTATTATATATTTATTCTTGAGTTTTAGGTGGACACAATATCTTTAATTTACATTTCTGTGGTGCTGAGGATCGAACCCAGTCGTGCATGCTAGGCAATCACTCTACCACTGAGCCACAACCCCAGCCCTCTTTTTTTTTTTTAATGTTTTTTTGAAGGGTAAAAGATGACTAACATGTCACCAGTGAACAGCATATATTTATTTATTTTTAATATACATACAGTCTCTTGTGGAAATTTTACTTTTTTAGCATTTTGAGTTCTTGGTTAACGGGGAACCCTCACTTTTAGACTGCACATTTCTGGAATTATTATCTTAAAACTCTTCACTGAAAGGTGAAGTTCTTTTGCATGTCATTTTGCAGCATTCACAAATGCTATTAGACTTTAAAAATATCAGTTAAGAAAGCAGAAGTGATAAGTGAAGTGTAGACTTCTTGTTCATCAAGCAGTGTAGAATGTTGACAGCATTGCAATATGGAGCAACAAAAAATGGAATTTGAGTGTATGATCTTTTTTTTGGCGGGGGAGGGGGGGATTGAGCCTAGGGGCACTTAACCACTGAGCCACATCCCCAGCCTGTTTTTGTATTTTATTTAGAGTTGCTTAGGGCATCACTAATTGAGGCTGATTTTGAACTTGCTGTCCTCCTGCCTCAGCCTCCTGAGCTATTAGGATTACAGGTGTGCTCCACTACACCTGGCATTAATTCTTTAGAAAGACATATTGCTTTTAAGTATTCCTGTTTTCCCCCTTCTCTTAATTTTCTTAAAATTAAAAATATATATATATTATATATATTTTACACACACACACACACACACATATAATATGTAAGTAGGAGATGCCATTTTTAGTCATTGTAGCCCATTTCTAGCTTTAATAGTACTTTCCACTTGGCTGAATGATATGCAAACAAGTTGGCCTGAAGATTGATATTAATATTTCTTTTGGATAATTAGTAATCCCCAATTTTTAAAAAAAAATACAGGTTTGTGGTATTTCCAAGATGTTTGGCATTTTTTAGTTGTAATTTTTTTTTTTTTTTTTTTTTTTTTTTTGTGATGCTGGGGTTTGAACTCAGGGCTTTGTGCATGTGAAGCAAGCACTCTACCAACTGACCTATACCCCCAGCCAAGATGTTTGTGTTTTTTAAACTAGTGAGTTGTTATAGCTTTCTGAATTATTTTTAATTTAATTTTCAATTATTGTCTAAATTTACAAATTAATATCTTATTCTTAATTTTTATTCAGGTTTCTTCCCTTGAAATTCTTTTAAAAATAATTTTAAATTCACATGGAAATGTAGCATAAAGTGTTAAGGATTATGTGTAGGTGCATGCTAATTACAAATATTATGATTTTGTTATGTGAAACTACAGAAATCCAAATCTAGTCAACTGCATATTTCATTTAAAGAATGTAAAAAGCCAGTGGAGGAGACTACATGTTTTAAACAATGATTTAATATCACTATAAGATTCCAATTGAATCTATTTTGAATAGCTTTGAAGATATTACTGTTTATTTGTCAACAGCCAATCAGAATCATTTCCTAGGACTGATTGCCCTCCCATCCCATCCTCTAAAATATAGAGAGAATAGGCTCTTTCCTGATTTGGGTCACTCTGTCAATATGATGGCCTGTCTTTATGTCTTCCATTCTTAGAAACCTGCTTGCATCTTGTCAGAAAAGTAAATCGTTAGGTTAAGTAACTACAGTTCATAGAATATTGTTGAAAAATAATGCATTCAATATTTTAAACTTTTTTTATTTTAAGAGTTGGGGTCGATGGTCTTGCCACATTGCCTAGGCTGGTTCTAAACTGAACTCAAGTGATCCTCCTGCATCAGCCTCCTAAAAAGGGATTATAAGCATGTGTTATTAGTGGCACATGTTCATTGTTCATTAAGTTTTTACTTGAGGTGATATGTGAAATATGTAAAACATAAATAAACTTTTATATCTTTTTATGCTTAAGGATCAGAGTAAGAGAAAATGAAGTCCACTGGTTGAGTAGAATATTGTATACATTTTTCTTGTTGTCTTTATCGAAAGATTTTTTTCTTGTTCCTTTTATATCAGCAATTGTGAATGCTGATTGTAAGTTCTTGACTAAGAAATCAGAGTCATTCCCCAAAATAATATTAAACAGAATAGTCATCTAACAGTTTTTATTGTGTGATTATTAGGTACGTGGTACTGTTCTGATAATCATAGTTTTAGCAGTGAATAAGACTGCTGAAGCTCTTTCCACCAGTGAGGACAGGGTATTGGTGGAGAGAAGGAGTAAATTCAACAAGTAAGCAAGATAATTTTAGAGGTACCAAATACTGTGAAGAAACAAAAGTGTGATATGATTGAGATTCTTGGAAGGATTTAAATTGAGTGTTGAGGAAAAACTTCAGATGGAGATTTTTTTTTTTTTTTTTTTGGTATCAGGGATTGAACTCAGAGGCTCTCACCTACTGAGCCACATCCCTAGCACTATTTTGTATTTTATTTAAAGACAGGGTCTCACTGTGAGTGGAACTTTCATAAATTTAATTATTTAAGCACATTCCTCTAATCCCAGTTCCTTAGAAGTTGAGGCAGGAGAATCACAATTCAAGGCCAATCTGAGCAGTTTAGAGAGACCCTGATTCAAAATAAAAATTAAAAAGAGCAGAGACTGGGAAGGTAATTCTGGCAGAGTACTTCCCTACCCTGAAGGGTTAAACCCCTACCAAAGCAAAAAAAAAAAAAAAAAGAAAAGAAAAAAGGAAAACCTAGCTATGAGGCTGGGAATATAACACTGTGGTAAGAACTTGACTAACATGCTTGAGGCCTTGGGTTTGAAACCCAGCATTGCAAAAAAATTGGGGAGGGGAAAGGGGAGGAAAAAAAAGAACTTGTTTCCCTTAGTTTTTGAGGTTTTGATTAGCCTTTACCTATCTGATTAATAACATGTCACTGCAATTGGTAGAAAAATAATTCTTTAAAGACATGGAGGCCATGGAGACTAAAAATTTTTCATGGAGAAGTTGGAAATCACTGATCAATGTAATCTCTGGGGGAACCTATAAAGAGAAGGAAACTAATTTTTTTTTTAAGATAGACTTATTACATCCCATTTAAACTGAACAGTAAATTTGTAAAGTAGATATTAGTCCTGTTTTTATAGGTGATGAAACTCTTGAAAAGTTGTATAATTTTTGAAAATTCACACAACTCAAAACTGTTGAGAATCATGTTGAAAGCAAACTTCCAGGAGATCTTCTGCAGTACAAAGAAAATAGTGATCAATAAATGTGTGGGTTTTTTCTTTTTTTTCTAATCAATAAATATATACTGCTTACGTGCAAACATGAATGAATGAGTGATGAATGAATAAGTAAGTGAATGAGAGAAGATTACCTCTGTTCCTATAATTCTTCCTTTGATATATCACACAATTTTCCTCTTGGATGCATCTTAAAAGTTTCTTCAGAAATAATTAAGTGGCTTTAGCAACCTTTTTTGTCTGCCATACCTTTCTTCAGTGAGGTTTAAATTACTTATTATAAGTTACACAGTAAAAATCTGAGGGGCGAAAAGACCAGACACTTAGAAAATGTAATTTCTCTTAGTTTTTTTTTTT